CAAACAACAACTCATTTTTCAAATGGCTCCATGAAATGAGCAAGAATAAAGCTTGAAGAGTGTTACATTTACTTCTGTAGTTCCCAGGGCAGTTCTGAGAACACTAGGTCAGGTATTGTGAGACACTGAGAAAATGTGCAATTTCTTTCCCACTGAGCTGTCAAGGCATTTCATGCTGTGAATAGCTAACACCCTTCTCTGACAACTAGGCAAATATTTCTATTTTCTGCCATTCTAGTCATGAAGTATCTCAGCATTGCCTCAGTTGATTTAGTGCCAATTCAAGTCAGACTTTAGATGTCTGTGCTAGTAACTGGACCAAATATTCTTGATGAAGCCTTGTCACAAGCTCATAGTGTGATTCTTAATACTTTTCTGTATAGTTAGATGGTAAAGGAGGTTATAAAGTTGAGAAGACAGCAGACAGGCAGAACACATGTTCACTGAACTGCTAGAATAGAGATTTTAGAACAGATAGTCTGATATGCCACTAGTACAAATTATTTCCAAAAACATCACTGTGGCATACAAACATTCCATCTTAATTAACATTTTACCTACTTTGCACACTTCAACTATATTTTTGACCTCCTATCACTTAGAGAAGTTGAAATGTATTATCTGAATAACCAAGTCTGTTTTGATAGGACTGAAATTAGGCAATATTTAGCACTTGCAAATGTTCAAGGCAAAGACTGAATAACAGATCACTGCTCTACAAACTTTTGATATATACTTTTATGATTATATTGTTTTTAACTATATACTGATAGACAGGCTTACTAACCTAGTGCGGAGAGCTTTAAACTAGGTTCACTGGGGAGATGGAGACCAAAGCCCAGCGGTAAGTGGGGAAGTGGGTGAACTGGATCAATAGAGGAGGTCTCATTCTTCCTGAGAACGGAGAGCAATCAGTTAATTACTCAAATGTTTGTCGAGAAATGCACAGAGCCCAGGAAACAAGCAGGAAGAATTGGAAGTCCTCACACAGTCAAAAAACTATGATGTGGCAGAGACTTGGTGGGGTAGCTCACACAACTGGAGCACTGTCAGGGATGGATGTAAATTGTTCTGGAAGGACAGGCCAGGGAGAAGTGAAGGAGGAATTGTTCTTTATGTAAAAGATCTGTATGACTGCTCAGAGGTACAGTATGAAACTAGAAATCAGCCTCTTAAAAGTCTCTAGGTTAGGGTCAGAAGGGAGAGCAACAAGGTTGATGTTGTGGTGCATGTCTGCTATAGACAACCAGACCAGGAAGATGAGGTAAACCAAGTTTTCTTCAAACAGCTAACAGAAGTTTCAAGATCACAGGCCCAGGTTCTCATGGGGGATTTCAATCACGCTGAAGTCTACTGGGAGGGCAATACAGCAGTGCACAAGCAATCCAGGACATTTGTGGAGAGTACTGGGGATACCTTCCTAGTGCAAATGTTGAACAGGCCAACTAGGGGCTATGTTTTTCTTGACCTGCTGCTCACAAACAGGGAAGAATTCTTGGGGAATGTACTAGTAGACGGCAACTTGGGCAGCAGTGACCATGAGATGATTGAGTTCAGGATCCCGAGGAAAGGAAGGAGGGAGAGCAGCAAAATAAGGAACCTGGACTTCCAAAAAATCAGATTTTGACTTGGTCAGGGAACTGACAGGCAGGATCCCCTCAGAGGCCAGTCTGAGGTGAAGAAGGTATCCAGGAGAGCTGGTTGTATTTTAAAGAAACTTCATTAAGGGCACAGGAATGAACCATCCCAAAGCACAGTGTAACAGGGCCCCCATGTCCCTGTTATTAGAAAGGCTAAGAGGATGAGGGACATGGGACCAGGAAGGGTAGTAAGGAGTAACAGCCCAGGTGGACTGGGCTCCAGGCTAATAAGGCCAGGTGGGTAATGAAGCAATTAGCTGTACGTGGTCATTGGGTGCAGAAGACCTGGTCACATGACCAGAAGGAGTCTGGGTTTGGAGATATCAGCTTAGTCTCTGACCATTCAAGGGGCAATCCCTGCCTGCAGCAGGGAGAGCAGCTCTTGGGAGGGAGGGGCTCCTGGAAACAGACAGACAGGCACCCAAGCCACCCAGGGGAGCTGGGGAAGGAGGTTCTTATGGAAACAGGGTCTACGGGGAACATTTACTCAGAAGAGGGAAACTATTTGTGTTATGAAGCAGCTGGACTGTACGTTTGTTCTGTTTGTACCAGAGGACCAGGTTGTGACTACAGGGGTGCATGAGTGGCATTCCCCTTTTACTTGTGCTAAGAGCTAGCCTTGTGCTAAAGGGCTGGAGGCTGGTGCTGAGACTGTAATCCCAGTAGGGCTGCTCCCAAGGCAGGGCCAATACTCAGGAGCTGAGGTCTTAAACAACAGAACAAGGCTGAGGATACAGCCAGAGAAAAAGGGGGCCATGGCTACAACAGCTGAGACTCCAACAAGTCCTACGGGATGCTCCCTTAAAAGGAGGAGCACTCAAAGCCCACAAACAAGGCAACCAGTGAAGTTATTCCCAGTTGCAGGTACCGCCTCCCTCAACCAAAATAAACAGAACAGCATCAGAGCATGGTAGTCAAGAGATTAGAGGTGAGGTAGGGCCAGCAGGTACAGGATAGCCTGGTGATGGAGTAGCAGCCTCCCCGCCTCTCCCCCAGCCAAGGGTACTACATACAGGAACACTAGCAAGTCTGGCAGAAGACCTGCTTGGTTTCGCAGGGAACTCTTCAGTGAGCTAAAACACAAAAAGGAAGCATACAAGAAGTGGAAACTTGGACAAATGACTAGGGAGGGGTATAAGAATATTGCTTGGGCATGCAGGGATGAAATCAGGAAGGCCAAAGAACAGTTGGAGTTGCAGCTAGCAAGGGATACGAAGGGTAACAAAAAGGGTTTCTACAAGTATGTCAGCAACAAGAAAAAGACCAGGGAAAGCATGTGCCCCTTACTGACTGGAGGAGGCAACCTAGTGACAGACGATGCAGAAAAGGCTGAAGTAATCAATACCATTCTTTTACCCCAGGCTTCACAGGCAAAGTCAGCTCCCAGACTACTGCACCAGGCAGCACGGTTTGGGAAGGAAGTGAGCAGCTGACAGTGGTAAAATAACAATTTAGAGACTATTTAGAGAAGTTGGATGTGTATAAATCCATGGGACTGGACAGGTTGTACCTGAGCGTGCTGAGGGAGTTGGCTGATGTGATTGTAGAGCTGCTGGCCATTATGTTTGAAAACGTGTGGTGACTGGGAGAGGTCCCAGGTGATTGGAAAAGGGAAAATATAGTGCACATCTTTAAGAAAGGGAAGAAGGAGTATCCGGGGAATTACAGACAAATCAGCCTCACCTCAGTCCCTGGAAAAATCATGGAGCAGGTGCTCAAGGAATCCATTCCTAAGCAGCTGGAGGAAAATGTGGTGATTAGGAACAGTCAGCATGGATTCACCAAGGGCTAATGATGCCTGACCAACCTGATTGCCTTCTATGATGAGGTGACTGGCTCTGTGGATGCGGGGAGAGCAGTGGACATAACATACCTTGACTTTAGAAAGGCTTTTGATAGGGTCTCACATAACATCCTTGTAAAGAAGCTAAAAAAGAACAGGTTGGACAAACGGACTGTAAGGTGGATAGCAAACTGGCTAGACTGTCAGACTCAAAGGGTAGTAATCAATGGCTTGATGTCTAGCTGGCAGTAAGTATCAAGTGGAGTCCCTCAGGAATTGGTCCTGGGGCCAGTTTTGTTCAATATCTTCACCAGTGACCTGGAAGTTAGGACAGGGCGCTCCCTCAGCAAATCTACAGATGACACCAAGCTGGAGGGAGTAGTAGATATGCCAGAGGGTAGGGTAGGACTCAGAAAGACCTAGACAAATTGGAGGAGTGTTCCTAAAGAAATCTCATGATAAGGACAAGTGCAAAGTCCTATACTTAGGATGAAACAATCCCATGCACCGGTACAGCCTAGGGACTGACTGGCTAAGCAGCAGCTCTGCAGAAAAAGACCTGGGGGTTATAGTGGAAAATAAGCTGAATACGATCCAGCAGTGTGCCCTTGTTGCCAAGAAGGCTAATGACATGCTGGGCTGCATTAGCATGAGTGTGTTGAGGGAAGTGAATATTCCCTTCTGTTCAGCACTGGTGAGGCCACACCTGGAGTACTGTGTTCACTTTCGGGCTACAAAAAGGATATGAACAGATTGGAGAGTTCAGTGGAGCAACAAAAATGGTTAGGGGCCTGGGGCACTTGACTTGTTAGGAGAGGCTGAGGGAACTGGGCAGATTTAGTCTGGAGAAGAGAAGACCGAGGGGAGGTTTACAAAGCAGCCTTCAACTACCTGAAGGGTAATTACACAGAGGATGGAGCTATAGTGTTCTCAGTGGTGGCAGATGACAGAACAAGGAGTGATGCTCTTAAGTTGCAGCAGGGGAAGTTTAGGTTAGATTTAGGAAAAACTTTCTCACTCGAACAGCTACCCATTGAGGATGTGGAATCTCCATCCTTAGAGGTTTTAAAGACCTGGGTGGACAAACCCTCTGCTGGGATGATCTCGATGGGGATGGTCCTGCTTAGAGCACGGGTTGGACTAGATGGCCTCCTGAGGTCCCCTTCCAGCCCTAATTTTCTATGCTTCTATGATAGGGCAAATGATTCTGCCAGCCACAACATGAGGGCAGAAGGTCCCAAACACAGAAACACCTAGCGTGGAGCAGCCATTTCAGGTGATTGTGCTATGAAAACCAAAGTGGCTTTCTCCTTGCAGTTATTAAGCCTCTTTGTGATTACTGAGGCTGGCTAATGATAGAGTGTGTGAAGACAGAAACAAAAGCCAACATAAGGAAGTGTCTAGGCTACCTACCTCCTGTCAAGAGGCTATTATATCACCACAGTACGATCAGCATAATTTTGCAGCACCACTCTAGGTTGTGAGAGGGTTTCTTCCTGGGATTGAGAATTTGCTTGTTTCAACTCCTGCATTTACTATTAGCATTACATTAGCAACACATGAAGAACAGGACTTACCGATACTGGGATAGCCAGGCGTTGATGGGTCTCCTCCATTATTCAGGGAAACCATAAATGCTTTATCGCTAAGATTTTGAGTCTTTGGTAAATCACAAGGATCAATGTAGAGAAGAACACCACCAAAGCCTGCCTCTTCTAACAGAGAGAGCTGAGGAAACAGAATAGCAGAGGTGACTATTAATAAAAAACCTTTGACAGAACTCAAATATTATTTGTTGGTATTGCAGTAGTGCCAAAGACTAAGTCATAAGCCAGGATCTTTTTGTATTAGACAATATACACATTCATACCAAAATCGTTCCTCACTTTGGGCCTCCCCACACACATATGAGATATATGAGCCTTTTGTTAAATACTTTATGTCTTCTGTGACAATGGATACCGTAGCACATCACACAGGTTTTGTACAGGATTTCTGTCCGTAATTACTCTTTGCTTAAGAGAAAAAGCACAAGACTCTACAAATGTTCAGAAAACAACAAGTACCCTAAATACAATTACATGCACTCTATCTTATCCAGTCTTTGGAGTCTATCTGTGTTTCAATAAGGCAGGGCTCTCTCGTGCCTCAGCCAGGCCCTCTATTATCTTCCTTCAGCTTGAACTATAAAATGTCTGAAGACCCAAAATGGAGCAGTCAGCTGCCCTTTTAGAACCTCCAGGTTCCTCTGTCATGAGACTTTCTGAACATCCATAAAGCTGACCACAGACACCTACCCTCTGGTAAACCAGTTCTCCTGAAAGGAAACTACCCAATCATCTAAGGCAGTGTCAAGATCATCGACCATGGTCAAATGAAGGTTGCTGGGCTAGTCTGCAAGTCAAATCAGGCCGTGCTGGAGCCAGCACACTGGGCTGGTTCAGCAGGGTGCTGGTACAGTGTGCTCCCCATACCAGCCCCCTGTGCCCCAGGCAGCACACAGCAGCCCCTCACCAGGGATTGTGCTGCAGGTAGCATGCAGGCTGGATCCAATGCTATGGGAACTGCATGCAGCCCCGGGAGGCCAGCACACGATGTGTGATGGTCTGGGATGGCCTGATCCGGACCAACCCTGAAGCCAGCAGGCAGGGCACAGGCACAGCATACAACATGCATCCCAAGCTTGCCCCCTGGGCAGCATACAGTACCAGATCCAATCCATGCACCAGCCCAGCTCCGCACATCACATGTGGCCTGAAGAGTCAGCCCAAGACCCAAAGGCTGGATCATACAGGTCCAGAGGCTGGATCCAGCCTGGGCAGTATTTCTTACCCAAGATGCTGCAGCAAGATCCTTTTCAGGGTGTTGTACAATACTAGCACAGTTAGGTGTGCAAACACCTACATGTTTTAAGAGATAAATCCTGAGATTTCAAACAGGAATCCATGGTGTCAAAGCCATTCTGGCTAGAGATTTGATGTCACCAAATGAAACGGATCAGCTGTGCCAGGATGCGTCCCAGCACACCTGGTCCACATCACTGGGCAAAAGGCACTTTGCCCTTTGTCCCATATGTTGGTCTCGCAGGACATCAAGTAATGTATTCTCCCCAGTCATGTGCACACCAGGAATTCCCACACAGGACTGGATTCCTCAAGTCTTTGGAATGACTACCCAGCTTTCCTTTCTTACAGAGATATGCCTTGGGAAATCTTAGGGCACATCCCTATAAGCAGGGACCCTCACTTTCCCTGCCTACAGAGATGTGCCCTGAGACTCCCTAGCCTGTCTCTCTGTAAGAGAGGAAAGCTGGCCAGGTATGCCCCTGGACTGAGGGGTCCAGTCATGCACTGGGATTCCTGAGTTGTGCTGGGCTGGGCCTCCTTCACGTCCTTGGAGCACCTGCCTGAGGCAACTGGGGAGTGTGGGCAGCTCCTAGCTGCCCACACTCCCCCACCACAAAGCAAATAGATATCCACCATTAACAGAGGCACAAATTAATACTGGCTTTGTCACGGTCATAAATCTTGGGCTTTTGTGCTGCAACAAGGAGTATGGACTTCTATCTGCTCGGTCTTGATGCCACCATGAACATTTTTATAGTGGCACAGAGGCAACATCTGTTTCCACCCTCTGACCTGTTGTATGCTTTCTGAGTTCTTTGTGGCAGGAAAAAAATGCTGTATTATTTTTCTGTAGTCAAAAAATGAGTGAAAGCTAAGAGTTGACATTTTCCGGCAGATACCTTTTGTCTAATGAAGGGTGTGCCTTGGGTCCAAAAATGTTGAAATCCACTAAACTAGGCTGACTACATTTCAGTGCGACTGTACTGAAGCTTGCAACTCTGATTTTTAGCCCTGTACAAGTAGGCCTTGGAGTTCTAGTCTAAGATGGAGGGAAAAGGAGAACAGAAACATAAGACACCCTTTCATTCATAGCGGTGTGTGAAGTTTGACCCAGATGCAAATAAATTCTATTTGATATCAGGAGATTTTTATACTGTAGACAAATTACCAAACTTGTCACAAGCTGTCCTGTGGATGCTAGGTAAATGCTTAAGTATCTGGACAACTAGGCTTTCATGTTTATTTACCGTATTATCAGATAATTAAAACAAACAGATACAATTAATTCATTTTCCAAATTAGATCACACCGTTTTATAGTGTGTGTGTGTGTGTGTGTACACACGCATGCGCATGTGTGTTCTTTTTTTAAGAAGAGTTTTTGATAGCCCCTGAAAATCAGGAGAAAAATCCCACTTTTGAGGAAGTTGCTGATATTACTTTATTTTAGTTTCCTCAAAACATTGCAGCATGTTGAAATATATTGAACATCTCAATCTTTAATGTAATAGCAAAAATTTTCTTTTCCCGCATGCCAACTTAGGAACAATGATAGAAACAGACAGGTTTCTGCCCTGGTAAATCATGGCTCAAGAAAACTCATGTTAATTAACTCCAGAGCTTCAGACAAGATTCAGGTTCTAGATTCCTTTGATATCATCAAATCAGTCATCTGGTACCAAAATTGCTAGAAGGGGCTTCCTCAAAATCCACCACATTATCAGATAACCCAGCATAATCCCATGTTTTGATACATCAGGGAATAGTTGGCTGAGGAATGATCCTGCTTCATGTTTACATTGATAGGCACCCCAATTGCTGGCAGTTTCACCTAGCAGGCATGTGAGTTAGTGGAGGGAAGGAGCCTCCTCTCTCACTGGTGTCAGAAGTAGAACAGAGCTACAAGCTTCTTCTCTCTGTATGTAACTTCTTTAAACTAGGTCTCTGATATTGCTCCGAGTAGGATGAGGTTTACTGTGTCGTTTTCTGTCAGGTCAAAGCACAGATGTCAAAGACGGGAAACTGCATTGGATAAAATCAGAGGAGCCAAGCTGGAGAAAATATTCTGACAATTTTGCGTCAGAATTTGCCAATTTGTCAAAACGTTCTATGAAAATGGATCGACTTTGATGCCATTCCTCTGAAAATGAGGCAAATATCAAACCTACCCACTCCCTGGACAGCTTGCTTCCCCTGCTCCTTGCCAGAATACACTTGCAGCTGCTAAGACTCCTGTTTTTCAGGCCCTGTGGCGGTGGGGCAAGATGCTGGAAAGATTCCCTCGATCAGGGACCCCGTGGCTTCCAGGGTCAGCTTCTTAGGGCAGCCCACTGCAACTATGAATGTGGGACTCTGGGACTTTATTTTTGCAGTGAATTTTGAAATGGAGGTGGGGTTGGAACTGAATCAGAACAAGTTCAGTCTGGAAACATCAAAATCCCCAGTTAAATGGAATTAACTTTCTCGGCAAAGTGCTGCAGATCAAACTATGCTACAGTGGTCAACCTATAGTATATCGTAAACTGCAGGCCACTCTGGTTTCGGAGGGTCATGTGACCATTTTAATCTGCAATACTTTCAGAATGCCTATTACAAACTGCAAGGAAGTGGATGAGATGTTTGGACTGCAACATTGTTTCAGGCATTCTTACTGAAGCCTGATAGTAGTGACTTTTGTCTTAGTTCATCAGTCCTTTTCCCTCTGTTTGAGCTTTCACTTCTTTTTGGGCACAGTTTTTTCTTTTGTCAACTGTTGCCCTGGTCCTAAAGCCAGCAATCTGCTAACCCTGGACCCAATTCAGGTAACCTCTGGGGAGGTATAACTCTACAGTAAATTTGTAAAGCATCATGACCAATTCCACATTTTATGCAAATGAATGACCCAAGAAGACAACATAACTATGTGCTTGCATTAACACAACTCATTCACACAAGTACAGATTTGCAGAATCAGCTTTTAAAAGAATACCTTCAAAATGTATGGGCAAGACTTAAAAAAAACCAGGAGTGATTAATAATAAAAAGTGGCACATCAAGCAATGACTACTGTGTCCTGCTCCAGATTTTCCTTCCAAACTCGACTATGCAGCCAGCACTTGATAAGATAATGAATGTGAGGAAGACTCAAGTAAGGATGAAACTGCATTAGAAACCAGATGGTCCGACAATGGAGAGTTTAATATCACAATTGTCTTCTCTTTGCCCATGCTCTTTGCCCGTTACAAAAAAAAAAAAAAAAAACAGACGCATGTTCAACATTTATTTGAAGTCCGCTTAAAAATCTTTGCACTTTAATTCTTTTTACACTGTTAGATGCTTCTGGTTCATTAAGAGAAGCTGCATATGTCTTAGTTGCACACTGCAGCAACCACTGCTGCCATGGTTACAATCTCTGCTCAGAAAAGAGGGTGTTGTACATACGAATTTATCAAATGGATTTAAAGTTTTGGTGATAACAACTGCCTTTTGACTGTCAGTCAGTGACATCATGACCGTGTCAGCAGTCCCTAGTAAATGCTCATCCTGGCCATTTTCCATCTTACAGAAATTCAATTATCCTAACGGCAACAAGACACCTCAGGCCAATCACTTAAGGAAGGCAATACATTTTTTTTTTTTGTTGGGTAAAGACACTGGATCAAATTTCTGTTAAGTCAAATGGTGTATCTCCATCAACAAAAGTGGAATTACTCTGCTTTTTCAGTGGTATAACCAAATGCAGAGCCTACTGATTGAACCTGTGGCTGTATGCCCCTTGTTATCACCTAAAACTTATAATAATAGCTTTAGAAGAAAATGGGTACATCAAAACTGCTATAAAAAATTACACACAATTGGTTCTCTAGCATCTCATTGTTAACCATTTTGCTGCCAATTGCTACTG